CAAAATCATGAAAGCAGTCAGAACAGTAAACAGACATCACAGATGTGCAGAGGTAGGGATAGACACAGGCTTCTCATCCGATATAATGTAAGCCAAAAGACAGCAGACTGTAATTTTTGTTCTTTTAGCATTCACTCATTCATGCATCCTGTTTAGGACAGAGTCTCGCCTTGTAGGCTCAGAGGGCCTTGAACTCACAGCAATCCTCCTGCTTAGCCTCCCTGTGCTGGGATTGCAGCCATGTACCACCATGCCTGGTGAGTAGCCTTTTTAAAGTACCTCGAAAAATGACACATACCCCCCACAAAACAACCCCCAAACAAATAACTGCCTGCCTAGAATTTTAACTCAATATTCAGATCCAGGGCTGGCCAAATAGCTCAGTGGATTAAAGAGCCTGCAACCAGGCACAGGGGCTGGGGGTTCAGTCCCCAGGCCTGCCATGCCGGCCCCACCCCGGGGGCCACAGAGAGGCAATTGATCTTTTTTTCTTTCTTTCTTTCTTTCTTTTTTTTTCTTTTTTCTTTTTTTTTTTTTGGCGGAACCAGGGATTAAACTCAGGTCCTTGCGCTTGCCAGGGAAGCACTTATTCCACTGAGCCATCTCCCCGGCCCCACAGAGACACAATTGAAACTGGGCGTAGTGGCGCATGCCTACAATCCCAGCTCTTGGGAAGCTGTAAACAGGCAGATCACTATGAGTCCGATCTAGTTGTGAGACCCTGAACACCCTGTAGACCCTTCCCTAAACTAAAAAATAAATAAATAAACAAAAATTCAGATGCCACTGTGTCAATACTTAAAAGTCCTCAGGGATTTTTGTTTCATTTTCCACTTGGAGGACATGGCTGAGATGTGATAAACTCACTGTGTCTACGGGGATGTATCCGGTGCCATCCACAGAGGGGTAAAGTGAGTGGCACCAGGCGGAGGGAGCTGACTGTGCTGCAGTCTCAGGTGACGCCTCTGCTAACTCTGTCTCAGCTCCGAAATGTGTGTCCCCTCACACTGCCCCTGAGCTGGGGCAAGGAGGCCTGGCCTGGCACTACAGCATGATCACTCTAGCCCCAGGCTCCTCTTGCCATCTCAACAATGGTATTGGATCCATGAACTCTAGAACCTGGATTCAAATCCCAGCCCTACCACTCGCAGGCTGTGTAATCTAGCCCGTGACCTTTTTTTTTTTTTTTTGTGTGTGTGTGTGTGTGTGTGTATTTGGTACAAGGTCTCACTACGCACCTCAGACTCGTAGTGATCTTCCTATTTTCAGCCTCCCAAGTGCTGGGATTACAGGGTGCGCCACCACACCCAGATTCAGTGGCTGGCTCAGGGTACCTGGGGGCAGGGCCAGGGCAAGGACAGCATGTGCCTGGGATGGAACCCCAGTCCCTGCGCTTGCCTAAGCAGGTGCTTAGTCCACTGAGCTATCTCACCAGTCCTCAGGCTGTATAATCTAGAGCAAAAATCCTTAGTTTCTCTGTGTCTTAGTTTCCTTCTTATAAAATGGGGAGTGATACTAGTATTCTTACCTGCTAAGGTAGTTACTGGATTAAATGAGTTAATATATGCAAATTTAATAAATGGCACCTGTCAGAAATAAACAGTTTCAGTATTATTACTGCTGGCATTACTATTGCAAATACACAGAGTGCGTTTGTTGAAGGCATAAATGATGGAAGGAAGGCAGAATTGAGGAATTCCTCAAAGAATGTTAAGTAATCCCATCTGTCACAAAGGGAGGAATAGCCTTACGGGTGTGTGTTGGAGAGTTTTTAATGTCACAGTAAAGTGTGCATTTGGTAAGTAGCAAGAAATAACAGCAGAGTTAGCCAACAGATGGGAGTAAGGGTCAAGGAAGGCATGGTTAAGCTGAGACAGAAGGCACGGACGTGGCGATGTGAGAAGTCCGAAGCAGGGATTGGAGTGTGGGTTCAAGAAAGGCGGGCGGTGAAGACAGGTGCATGGAAGGCTGAGAGAAAAGGGATACGGACCTAGAGAGACCGGAGTGAGGACTCAGGTGAGGCTGGTGGGGTCAGGAAGTCGTGACAGGGTCATCCTGGGAGTGCCACGATGAAGGATTAAAGGAACAGGTGAGGTTGATGGGGACAGGTGAGGGGCGATGCGGTCCTTCCTGGACCCCGGGTCGAGTGAAAGGCCGAGGCCGGAAAGGAGGCACGGGGAGCGGGAGGAGCCGCGGTGCAACACGCAGGGGCGGCGGGCGTGATGTCAGCGCGGGTGGTGATGTCAGGCCCGGTGCTGATGCTGGCGGCGCGGTGCATTGTGGGCAGCTCCCTCCGCCGCCGCCGCCCGGGGAGGATCGGGCCGGGCCGGGCCGGGCCGGGATGGTCCGGGTCGGGAGGCCGCCGCCGCCG